AACGAATAGATCCTCTCAGGATAGAACGATTCTTTTCACCAGTGTATCGAAACAAAAATAATGGTGTCAGTGATTCATCTAACAAGAGCAAAATACAAAATTATTTAATTGTCCAAAAGAAGAAGAAATAGTTCAAAATTTTCGTTATTTTATAGTGAAAGGAAATTCCTCTATTTATAGACAACAAAAGTTAGTGTGAACAAATGTTTATTGTGTCTTATAGAAAATGTCACAATTCTTTGGAAAAGTTACAACCTTTGGAAAGGTCACAATCTTTCATAAAAATCACAATTTTTCATAAAAGTCGCAATTTTTCATAGAAGTCGCAACTCTTCATAAAAGTCATAACTTTTCATAAAAGTCACAACTATTCTTGAAAGGGAAAAGCTAGTTCTGAAAATAAAATAAGTCGCGACTTTTCATAATAGTCACAATTTTTCATAAAATCATTTTTTAACAACCAAAATTAAATTATACATCTGCCATAGTCATTTAATAATTTTCCTCAAAAATATAGAAGTAAGAGGTATATTTAATAATTCAAGTACAAATAATAAGTTTTTGCATACAAAAACAAAATTGTACAACTTACTGCAAATTAATTTGAGTAGTGCTAAATCGAAAGAAACTTCGATGGCATGAATTGGCAAGACACGGTTAAATGACTAAATAGCCCTTTGACTCCAAAATGACTTATTTTATCCCTCCCAAAAAGAAAACAATTCTTTGACTTTTTCTTTCTTTTTTATTCTCTCTCTTACTTTACTCGTTTATCTTCTATACATTTATAATTATTTGATTGATATATCAGGTGTATATATAAAATTATTTGATATATATATTACTATTATATACAAGAGTGGTAAGAGGACGACCAAGGGTATAGTGGTCATTTTACATTAATAACAAATGGACAAATTTCATTTTCAAAAGCAAGAAGGGCAAATATGTAATTTTACATTAAAAAGGGACAAATTTCAATTTCAATAGCAAATGTTTGCAGATCCATTTCTCTTCCATCTTTGTACAATATCAGTCTTTCTTTAAACAAAAAAAAATTTCAATTCATCCTTACCACAAAAACTTACTCAAACATAATTTCTTCCAGCTCTCTTCTTTCAACAACTATTAATCAATTTGCAACTCAAAACTTCAGGTATGTTTTCTTTCTTTGGTAAAACATGGTTAGAGAATAGTAGTTTCTGATATGTTCATTCATTTTCTCTTCCATCTTTGTACAACATCAGTCTTTCTTCAAACAAAAAATTCTCCAAAGTGAATATATATATATATAT